GCAATTGATGATTTTTCCTAATGAAAGTGTAGATGCACCATTGGCGAGTGCAATTCTTGTTCGTGATGACCAAAGGTTGGTGATCTTCATCATTCTCACATGAGAATCCGAAAGAACACTGATTCCGGTACCCGAATCGCAAAGTGCAGCATCAAAGTTGAAAGCACGAATGGAGCAAGAGATGATGAAACGTCCCGGATCGAGGGTCTTGCAAATGGTCTTAAAGTACTTGTGAGGATTTCTAGCTCGATCAAATAGCTCCTCAATCATGAAATCTTCTTCTTTGCTTTGTGAGAAACACTTTCTCAAAGAWGGTCGKTCTCGCCATGCTTCTTCAAAGGACAACTCTTGAGGGAGTTCTTTCACAAGTGAATTGAATACTTCTAGCATCTCATCACTAATAGTACATGTCCTCTTGGTGGATTTTTCGGCAAACTTAACTCCTTAGGGGGGTATTTTACCGAAATTCTTGCAGTGAGTTTTCCTTGGCTCGTATTCGCGTTCTTGAGTGGTCTTGAGACTTCGCCTTCGTCTTGATTAGAGGTGGACTTGTCCTCTTTAAGGGAAGTAAGAGTGCAACAATGATCTTTAGGTGTAGGTTCTTCTTCTATTGTTTCCAATCGAAGATAAACTTGCACCGTTTCTTTGATTTTCTTCAAACGATCGTCTAGTTGCTTCACACGCTTGGAGGTACCGATTGCTTCTTCTTCTAATTTCGTTGTTGTGTCAATGAGCTCCGTATTATGGCGGTCAAGGTGAGAACAAACAGTGTTGAGAGTTTGTACAGTTAGCCTATTATCGTTCTCCAATTCTTCTACTTTTGATGTGAGTTCGCCGCGAATGGTTTTGACTTCTCCCACGGCTTGGGCAGCTTGGTAGGCCTTGATAGCTATCGAGTTGAGTTGAGTATTAAGCTTTCCAACGTCTTCCTTAGTATCCTTTACCGTTTCTTCCAATTGGTCATAAGTTTGATCAATCTTATACTTGATATCGACGATATCGTCTTTATCTTGGTGTAGATGTCTAGTATGAATCTTCTTAGTGCAGATGAATCTGCTGAAACAACAGGATCAGTGAAGCAGTGAAGAGTTTGTGTGCTGCACAGAAGCTAGAAGGAATAATCAGCAAACTAAGAAGAAAAGTCTTCTTGTGACTAGGCACGCTAGGTGGCACCTCGAGTTGGAAACCGCACTACCAGGAAGTGTACGCGAGAAGTCAGGTTCAGGAAACAAGGAGTCTGACACAAGTGCACAAAGTCAAGGTGCAAGTGGGTTTACTTACTGTTGATCAAAGGTTGATGGGAGTAGTGGTCTGACATCAACATGAACAGTTCTGTTGCCTTTTCGGATCAAGGGGGAGCTGTTTTTATGGTTATAGGAGTTGCTGGTTGCTATTACTATAAAAGGGGGGGGATAGTTCATATGCCGACTAGTTCTTCCGAAAAGGTCTTTGAAGAACTCAGAAACAGTGGATAGATTAAGAACATGTTCGGGAGCGAATCACGTATTTGTGATGTAGCGTAACTCTGGGTAGAATAGGTTGAAGGATCTATTCTATAGAAATATTTGTGTAATCTATCTGTTACAACAGCTGTGTTTTGTATCAGCTGTTGTGTCCTGCGAGAAAAACAATAAAGACTGAGTGTTTTTATTGGAATCTTCCTGTCTCATCTACATATTTCTGTTTTTGTATCGTGTACAAAGGTTCATGCTTTTTCAAATCTCTTCTATCTCCTCCAATTGGACCAAGCGCGTTTCAATTTTGTGAAACCTAAGTTTGGAATAACTACCTTGTGTGAACCGAATGTGTTTAAGGAGAAATCTAAGGTTTGGCATACTTCAACAAAAGTTGATAAAGCCAGATTCAGAGGATGCTTTCACTGTGGGAAACTTGGACACAAGTGGCAGTGATGCTTCAAGAGGAAGAGGAGGATCCAGCTTCTCTGGAATCTGAATCTATGTTGGAAAGAACCTGCATGGTTTGGGTACGTCTGGGTTGCTAAGAAAAATTTGTATGAAAAACAGTCTGTGGAACTAGATCACATCAGATTTATAAATAGTTACAAGGAGGCAAACAACTGGGTGGTTAGAGATCAGCTGACTGTCGGCAGCAAAGATGGAAATCTCAG